CGTCAATTTCAACCGCGTCCTCTCCTGACGGCACCGTGGTTGAAATCCCTGCGTCTACCTCCTCTTTCTCCTCTTTCTTCTTCTCCTCCTCCTCCTCCTCCTCCTCCTCCTCCTCCTCCTCGCTCTCCTAAACCTCCTCCTCATCCTCCTCCTCTTCCGCGCGAGCGGGCTCGCTGATGTCGATCGCCGTTGGAATTCCAACTCTAAGGTGGGACCCCCTAGGGGCCAGCCACAGGGAAGTCCCTTCCGCGCGAGCGGGCTCGCATGGCATGCCCGTCAGAGTCATTCCGTGCGAGCGGGCTCGCTGATGCCGATAGCCGTTGGAAGTCAAACTTTTAGGCGGGACCCCCTAGGGGCCACAAGGGAAGCCCCTTTCGCGCGAACAGGCTCGCATGGAATGCCCCTCAGGGTCATTCCGTGCGAGCGGGCTCGCTGATGCCGATAGCCGTTGGAATTTCAACTTTTGGGTGGGACCCCCTAGGGGCCACAAGGGAAGTCCCTTCCGCGAGAGCGGGCTCGCATGGAATGCCCCTGAGGGCCATTCCGTGCGAGCGGGCTTAGGTGGGCCCCCTAGGGGCCACAAGGGATGTCCCTTCCGCGCGAGCGGGCTCGCATGGAATGCCCCTCAGGGTCATTCCGTGCGAGCGGGCTCGCTGATGCCGGTAGCCGTTGGAATTCAAACTTCGAAGTGGGACCCCCTAGGGGCCACAGGGGAAGTCCCTTCCGCGCGAACGGGCTCGCATGGAATGCCCACGAGGGCCATTCCGTTCGGGCGGGCTCGCTGCTGCCAATAGCCGTTGGAATTCCAACATTTAGGCGGGCCCCCTTAAGGGCCACAGGGGAACTCGCTTCCGGCTCGCATGGAATGCCCCTGAGGGCCATTCCGTGCGAGCGGGATCGCTGCTGCCGGTAGCCGCTGGAATTCTAACTTTGAGGCGGGGCCCCCTAGGGGCCACGGGGGAGGCCCCTTCCGCGCGAGCGGGCTCGCATGGAATGCCCCTGAAGGTCCTTCCGTGCGAGCGGGCTCGCTGATGCCGATATCCGTTGGAAGTCAAACTTTTAGGCGGGGCCCCCAGGGGCCGCAGGGGAAGTCCCTTCCGCGAGAGCGGGCTCGCATGGAATGCCCCTGAGGGCCATTCCGTGCGAGCGGGCTCGCTGCTGCCGATGGCCGCTGGAGTTCCAACTCTTAGGTGGGGCCCCCTAAGGGCCGCAGGGGAAATCCCTTCCGCGCGAGCGGGCTTGCATGGAATGCCCCTGAGGGTCATTCCGTTCGAGCGGGCTCGCCGATGCCGATAGCCGTTGGAATTCCAACTTTTAGGTGGGGTGTGTGCGTGTGCGCGCGCACGCGTGCGCGCGTGACTGGGCGTGGGCGGGCGCGGCCCGCGGCCGCCCAGAGAAAACGAAAATCCCACTTAGGATGCGGGGGATAATAGGGCGGGCGCGGAGCGCTGCAGGCTAAAGTGGCAGACAGGCAGACGAGGGTGGGGTTATGCCAACTTGGCAGGACTGCGCGCCGTTCGAGTCTGGTGCTCAAACAAGTCTGTCGCGGCTTGTGCGAGTGCTCTTCAGACCGCGCTCGCGATGCAACTTGCTGCGATGGGCGCGCTGCTGGCCGCGCTCATAGAGCGCGCCCGCGACTGAGTGTGAGGACTAGATTGGTGGCTCGCCAGCAAAAGTGGCTGCTGCTGCTGCTCAACTGACCTAGCCAACTGGTGCAGCAGTCACTCGGGTGCTCAACTTCCTCGTAGCTCTCGCCCGTTGTTGGCCGCATAACTTCCTCGCTGCTGAAGCAATTGTGCTGGGGGCTCGGACCAGCCTTCTTCTTCTCCTTTATGTTTTCTTATACTTCTTCTCATTGCTGAGCTTTGCCGCGTCGTCGACGTAACTGATCTGACCGTCCATCGCGCTGAGGGTGATTTCCCAGCCCACGCTACCCCCGGTCAAGGGGTCGGCCCGCGTGTCCGGAGCGTCGCGCCCGAGTTAGCCCTCGATTGGTTTGGCGCGCGGCTGATCGGCTAACCGCCGCAGGGGCCTGCCATGATGTTCTCGGCAGGCGGCCGCCAGGTCTTCGAGAAGGGCGTTGGAGAGGGACATTCCACCGATGAATCTGCAGGGATCGCGTAACCTCCTTCCCCCCTCAGCCCCCTGATCTCCTCGGCAGATGCGGGGCCGCGCGCCGTCTCGCGCGGCGCGAGGGCGCGCGCTTGCATGCCGTCGGCTGCGCCGCGTGCCGCGAGCAGCTCTGAACCGAATGAAGGTCTGTGCGCCGGCTGGTGCGATGGGCTCATCGCGTCAGCTGGGGCGCGCGCCTGCCGGCGCAGCGGCGCTTGCCGACGCGAGCGTAGACGGCGCCTCTCGCGCCGTGCAGTAGGAGCTCGCCCGCGAGAAACCTCCCGCAAGAAACTCAACCATGGGGCGCCGGGGCGCGCGTTGATTTCTGGCGCGGGAACGTCCTGCACTCCTTGGCAGAGCCAACGAACGCCAAGATGCAGCCCAGGGCGCCCTGGAGGCAGGCGAGGCGTTTCTTGTCATGAATTTCCACTGTACCCCCCCATCTCGAGCGACTCGTCGCCGTTCCGCTCTGAGCCGCCTGGCGTGCTCCACGGCTGGGAATGCGATGCGCCTTTATCTTCTGCGTCGCCGCGACGACTGAGTTGAGCTGCGTCGCGTGTCGGATGAGCAGCTTGTTCTTGGCTTTCTGCAGAGCGGCGATTGACGCGGCGATGTGGCGCCGGGCGGGCAGGGCGCAGACCACCGCGCCCCAGAAAGGAGGCAACAAGGTCTGGATGTTGACCTCCGGCCGGCTCGTCAGCTTCGGCCTTGGCCAGGTAGGCGTGTCGGGTCTGTATCGGAGCGCCGATGCTTTCGTCCTGGTCGAGAGTCGTGATATCATGGGCACTGCGGTGCTGGTGAACTCCGCATTGGGTGAAATCATTGTGATCACCTCTCATCTGGCTGAATCAGCCCGTCAACGTGCCCCTTGCGCGCGCGATCTTCAGATCATCGGCGGGCTTGGACAGCGCGCGCGCTAGCTCCGAAACGCTGGTGCCAACGGCGCCCGGCGCCTCGCGCTTGACCCCCAACTCCGGGCCCCACCTGGTGGACTTGGCGTTGCAATCTGGCGAGGCTCGAGGCGCGCCCTTGCAGCTCCTGCTCGGCTTTATGCAGTGCAGGCGCGCGGTCCGCCCGTCGTTGCTATCGTGGCTGGGCGCCTGCCAGTAAATGGGATGCAGTGCGTGGCGGCAAAGTGAAATTCGCATCGCGGGGTGCTTCGCCTTGCTTCTGGATTTCGGCGTACATCACGCCTTGCAGGATGCCGTCTCGACGTCCGCGGCAGGGTGCGCCCGGCCAGGGCGACGCGCCGCCTCTGTGGCCCGTGGGCGCTGCGACGCCCGCTTCGCTGTCCCAGGTGACGTCCCCAAGGCTCGGGCGTCCGTGTCGTGGAAGCCGCTCGGCGCTTTGCGGCGCTGGATGATTCGGGCGGTCCTGCCGTCTGGTCCCTTCTGGTGCTTCCGCTTTGAGACGTGTCTGGAGTCCATTGCGTTTCGGGTGGAGCGGTCGCCGCTCGAAGAATTTGCGCGGCGCCCTGGCGGTGAGCTCTTCGAAGACGGCCGCTGCGACCTCCTTTGAAAGCCTTGGCGCGTCGTCGCTGGGCACAAAGTCACAGTCGCGCTTAATGAACGCGGTCTTGACAGCGGCATAAGTGTCAAGCGCCGCTGTCCGGGTAGCGCTAGCGAGGCAATCGCCAGACGCTTCCTCGCCAAAGCCCGCGAAGGCTTCGCGCGCCCCTAAATCGAGATGCCTCTCCACACGTGCCTTCCCCCTTCGTCCTCTTCCTCTAGCGTGGCGTTGTCGTCCAAGGAGGTCCAGCGCAAATGACGGTGGCACGGCGCGAGGATGCTCTGACGCCGGTGCTGCGCCCGAGGTGCCGGGGCCACTCGTGGGGAAGCAGCGTGCTCGAAAGCAGCGTCGATTTCATGCTGACTGTCGGCGCTCCCCAGCTCCTCGAGTTCCTGGGTCAGGTCTTCTGCCACTTCGCCTCCGCGCCTAGCTGCCAACGTCGCCTGTTGGATGTGGCCAGAGAAGTCGCCGTCGGGTCTCCTTGGGAGTAGCCGACAGGGCTGATAGTGAACCCCTCGTTGTCTTTCGGGGTGCTGGTGACGCAATCACCAGCCCGTCCATTGACTCCCCCCTCTCTCCTCCCTGTTCCTCCCAAGGTTCTTGCGACACAGTCACCATAAGCTCGGGGCCCCTAGCTGACACCGTAGATGTGTCCGTTGTGTCGAACAGCTGCCTGACATTTGTCGATATTCCCGCATTCGAGTGCACTCAGGGCGTAGGGTCCGCGACCTGCGCTGACGCAGCCACTGCAAGTCCGGGAGGGATCGCTGAGATTCCCGGCGCGCCACGAGGTTCGTCGTCCTCGGCAGCGCGGCCAGGGTACCGGTTAGTCTCGTTGACGTACTTGAATCTCTGGTTCTAGGACATGGCGGCCGCGGTATTAGAGCCGAAGCTCCGCTACCATCTGGAAACAAATAAATGGAGAAACAACATGTTTTCCGTAAGTGGAGTGCAGGTGAAGGCAGTTTGTCAAGGCGGGGGACAAAAAAAAACGGGCACGGAACGCTGCAGGCTAAACTGGCAGCGGGAAGAGAAACAGCACAAGCACAGGCAAGGATGTGGTGGGACCAGCTGGGCAGGAATACGTACCGTTCGAGTCTGAGGAGACCCAGGAGAAAGAGGAGGATGAGGAGGAGGAGGAGGAGCAGGAGGAGGAGGAGGAAGAGGAGGAGGAGGAGGAGGAGGAGGAGGAAGAATAACAGGATGAGGAGGCGGAAGACGAGGAGGAGGGGGAGGAGGAGGAGGAGGAGGAGGGAGAGGAGGAGGAGGAGGAAGAGGAGGAGGAGGAGGAGGAGCAGCAAGGGGAGGAGGAGCAGCAAGGGGAGGAGGAGCAGCAAGGGGAGGAGGAGCAGCAAGAAGAGCAAAGGGAACCCCAGCGCTCACGCGAAATACCGCGCCGCCAGCGCCGCCAAGGCCGCCATCAGAAGCGCCAGCCAGGCCCACCTCCGGCCCACGGGCGGCGCCACGCGGGCGACGCCCCGCCGCGCGGTGCCTGGGTGAGCCCCGCCGTCCTGGCGCCCGCGACAGGGAGGGGCCCATTATCAAGAAGGGGAGCATCTGGCGCGCGCGCGCGTCGCGGGGCTCGGAGGTGGAGGAGCAGGAGGTGGCGGCAGATGAGCGTGATGGAGGGGGGGGGGGGGGGCGGGGGGCCGAGGCAGGGAGGGAAGGAGGGAAACTTCTTCTCGAGGATCGAGGCTTGAAATGGTTGGGTGCTTTCCTGCTCGTCGCTACGGCTGGAATCCCCTCGAAATTCTCTAGACATCCTTTGAGAGGTGCGGGGATCGATTTTGCAAGAGGTCCACATGTCTGCCACGAATTCCAATAAAGGTCCAGCGTGTCCTACTCTCTGCCAGAGGTAGCCTCTGGACTGGCATGCGGCGGAGGACGGGGGAGGGATCGGGTGGAGGGGGGCTGGGGTGAGCGCAGCGGAAGGGCGGGGAGTGGGATCGGGATGAAGAGGGGTGGGTGGGATGAGGAGGGGGGCGTGGCGAGAACGCGGGGGAGAGTGAGCGGATGATGCTGATTGTGATGATGCTGATGATGATGATGATGATGATGATGATGATGATGATGGTGATGATGAGGAGGATGACGATGACGGATGATGATGATGATGATGAGGATGATGATGGTGATGATTGATGATGATAGCGATACTATTGGTGATTATGATGCTGCTGATGATGACGATGCCGACGATAACGACCATATTGATGATGGCAACGGCGATGATGATGCTGCTGATGATGAGGATGTTGATTCCGATGGTAATGACGATGGTGATGATGATGATGATGATGATGACGATGATGATGACAGTGATGGTGATGCTGTTGACGATGACGAAGCCGATGATGACGATGTTGTTGATGATGGTAACGGCGGTAACGAACAGTATGCTGATGGTGCTGTTGAGTATAATGGTACCGATGATGACGATGATGATGAGGATGATGACAATTATACTGATTATTCTGATGATGTTGTGAATGATGGTGGCGATGATGATGCTGCTGATGTTGATGCTGCTGATGATCATGATGATGCTGATGCTGCTGGTGATGATGATATTGATGCTGATGATGCTGACGATGCTTCTTACCATGATGCAGCTGTTGCTGCTGCTGACGCTGATGATGATGATGACGACCATTACAATGACTACGACGATGATGATGATGATGATGATGATGATGCTGTTGACAGTGGCGATGCTGATGCTGATGCTGCTGATGATGATGATGATGACGGCGATGACGATGACGATGCTGGCGCTGATGATGATAATGATGATGTTGTTGGTGGTGATGATGCTGATGGTGAAGATGCTGAGGATGATGATTATGCTGATGCTGCTGGTGGTGATCTGCTGATGATATGGATGATGACGATGACGATGACGATGACGATGACGATGGTGATGATGATGATGATGATGATGATGATGATGACGACGATGCTGGTGGTGATGCTGCTGCTGCTGCTGCTGATGATGATGATGATGATGGCAAGGAGGCGGATTCGCAAGAGAAGGAGGATGAGGAGGAGGGGGAGGAGGAATAGAAGGAGAGGAGACGAGACCGCCAAGTGTGCGTCCGAGAGTCGCATGCGCCTCAAGACGAAGAAGGATCATCTGGGGAGCCGCAGGGGCGGCTGCACCTCTGGATCCTCTCGATGATGACGACCTTGAAGTTAGCAAGGCTCGTCGGGCCCAGGTCGAAACAAGTGCCCAGGTCACCGGCCACGGCGACAGGAGACAAGGTCCTAATCAAAAACCCTGGACGGGAGAGCTGAAGGGGTAGGGGGGGGGAACGAGGGGGAATGGGGGGGGGGGCCTTCCCGCTGTAGGCGCCCCCGCGAGCGAACGCTGCTGCCCTCCTCCTCCTCCTCCTCCTCCTCCTCCTCCTCCTCCTGCTGCGCTCGTGCGCAGGGCCAGGTCAGATCAACAACTGCCAGCGCTGCGGGAGCCTGGCGCGGGCGGCCGCGCCTTGCGGACATCCTCCTCTTCACCTTTTCGCTCCTGCTGCTGCCCCGCCCTCGCCCGAGCAGCACTTCGGATGCGTGCCGCGAGCGGTGCTATTACCGCGGCTGTGTTCGCACTCGCCGATCACGGCACATGGCCGGAATGCTCGCAGACGGAATCGATCTCCTGTCGACGGTCTGACATTTGGTTGGACTTTTCTATTTTTTAGTGATGGGGAACTGTTCGTGGGACGCAGATTCGGGCCCATGGTCGTTCGACGTATGCGTTCAGCTGAGGCAATGCACACCTTTCCTTGATTGGACAGGGTGGGAGCTACTGTCCTCCTAAACAGTGCAGTGTGCGAGGCACTCGGTTGCTGCTTGTGTTGACATGATTCCCCGCCAACGCCTCATGTCTGTGGTTCCTGATGTCCTCGTATCGCACGTCCCATTCTCCGTATCCTCAACATCATGGGGTTCTTGTTATCACTGTCATGCCTCCGCCTCGCTGACTTCACTCGCCCATCCGCCTCCCCGCTCTTCCACTCGTGCTCAGGCCCACTCATATTCGGGCTCACGCATACCAAGATTTACCCATGGACAGTCTCATTCGCACTGCGACTCAATCCCACTGCGGTTCTAGTCAGACTACATTAATATGAGACTCAATCATGTGTTAGTTAACTCGTATCCAGACTGACTAGCCCTCAGACTTACATCCCGTATCCGAAACATGGGCTTCTTGCCCTTAGTGATGCCCATTCGCTTCACTCCCATACTCAAACTCGCGTACACTCAGACTGAATCAGTTTCATAAACCCAAGCTTGCACATGTTCAGACTCATCCGCGCTCGGGCTATTCTGACCACTCATGCTCGGACCCGCTCACTCTTGGACCCGCTCACGCTCATGCTCCTCGTAGCCAGACCCACTCGCGCCCATGCCAACCCACGTTCGTATTCACATACGCGTTGTCGCAGAACTTACCCCATGGGGGAGCCGACCAAGGCGCCATCATGGGCCCGCCCGTTCGAATTCACACTGTCGGGGTGCGTCAGATCTACCAGCCGTTTTGGCGGGGGTGCGCGTGCTTTTTTGTCGGAGGCCCAGTCGCATCGCGATGTAGGAGGCATGGCATTTTGGCACGCTGAAGGGAGCCGACCAGGGTGTCATCGCGGGCCCCTTCTCGCCCAGATAGTGCGACGTTTCGAAACATGTGTCTGTTGGCGGGGTAGACGAGTCCCTCTTCAACATCATCGTAGTGTAGCAAGCACGGCTCTTTGGTACCCAATGGGGCATCCGACCAGGGTGTTCTCATGGGTCCCTTCGCGCATATACTGTGGGAGCGTCTCACATAGAATCGCTTTCGGCGGGGTAGACCTATATCATCGCGATGACAAGGGCACTGCATTCTGATGCATGTAGGCATCATGGCGACCAACATGTTAGCTTCACGGACCCGCTCGCACCCAAATTGTAAGGACGTCTCAAGTAGAATGTCTGCTCTGGCGGGTCAGACGTGCCTCTTTTCATGGTCCCAAGAGCATCGCTTTGTAGCCGCCATGCTATTTGGGCACCCCTATCTAGGGTCAGCCGCACAAAAAAGAGCTGTCGCTGGCCCGGGTACGCCCATATTGTTGGAACATCTAAAGCAGAATTAGCGGTTCGGGGAAGGTAGGGTTTTTGCACCGACTATGGACTCCGCGATGCAGCAAGGAATGCAATTCGGGCAGCGATGGAACCTTCAAGGCAAAGAGATGCAGAAACGGTGAGCATTTTTTTAATCGGCGTTTCGACGTTGGGCGGAAAAGGGGGGTGGTCTGGCTCCAGACCTCTGCTTAGTGTGACTGTTTGCAAGGCTGCGGCCTATGCGGGAGGCTCCACCCGCTCGAAACAGGCGCCAAAAGCAGCCAAGAGCTACTCCGGGGGGGGGGAAGGGGGGGGAGGGGGGAGAGTGCGAGGGCCCGCGCCGATCGGCAAAACAGTGAATAACAAACGATCGCTATGGTGATCTCCGCGCAGCTGCTTCAATTCCTACTTCTCGTTCTTACCACGGGCCTGGCCTTGGAGGTCGTCGGCTCCGTCGGTCTTGGCCTTTGGGGCCCTCTTCGCCTTCGACTTGCGCCTGTGTGCTACTGCCTTGGGCCTCCGAGTGCTCTGCCGAAACTTGCCTCTCTTGGCGGGGCTGGGAACTCGCCTTCTGGAAACAAAGGCCAGGACCCGCGAAGTCGATGCTCGTGTGACTGCGAGGGTTATTGCCTTCGCGGCTCTCTTAGGCCGTCTTGGGCCCACCCTGGCTCGATGACAGCAGCCCCCAGAACCCCCTCCGCCGACTGAGGACTTTGAAGCAGTGCATGAGACGATCCGCTGCGAAGATGCATTAAGAACGACTTGGCGCCCCCTCCGACGACCCACACGACCACTTAGGCTGGAAAGCGGCGTCGTAGATCCATGCAGCAGAGCGCATCTCCGTACCGACGATGCCGATGCACCGCTGCTTGGCTCCTTACCTCCAAGTTGCTACGACGACCCCGGGCGCCGACCCGAATGCTCGTCTTTCGCCGCTGCTTCAGTCAGTCCGACAACATGCGATTGACCTCGCACACATCGCGGTCACGACGGACCTTGTCACATTGCAGCGGCAGGAGGCTGACATCAATTCGGGGTACTACCAACAACGCAAAACACAAATGCTCAAGAAACTCCGACGCTTGCAGCCAGGCTTTCGCACCGCCGTCGGTGCTATTCAGACCCCGGGCGGCAATCTAGCATACACACCCCACGACATCGCGCAGGAGCTGGGTAAACATTGGAACCGAATCTTCACGCGACAATCGATCATCCTTCACATCTTGGAGCGCCGGCTCGCTACTGACACTTTGTGATCGGTGCTGAAAGGTGTATAACCAAGGAGCTC